GTGTTCCACCACTTTCGGCCACTGTATTTGATTTGAACTTCCAACATAAGCACCATGCCATTTTCTTTAAAAACAAGTGGAGTTAATGTTCTTTTGTCTGCACAGAATCTCAAAGACTACTCCAACTGGTGTCATGACATTTTCTTTCATCCAAGCCATTGAGTACGGACATGGAACCACGAACGGGGACATACTGAGTTCGATGAGATCTACCACAACACGGAGAATGAAGAAGGTGATACTTCGACATCTGGCAGGTTGAGATAGGTACATATGATCGTCAATGGTTCCAATTAGTTTCAAGGCGTAAGAAATGTTTTCATTTGTTTCCAATATTTTGCTTGAACTTTCCCATGTGATTCGCTTTGCTGCAGGAACCACAGCTACAGGAAATAAAAAGTTTAAGTCGAAGAAGAAATTCTCCCTGTGATTTTCGTCATCGGTTCTCCTGTTTTGTGTACAAAAATGCACAATTCCACAACACCAGAAAATCACAGGTTTAATTAACAAGGAAAATACAGTGCATAAATTTCATTACATCATCATTAGAAACAGGAAATGTAACAAAAATCTACTAATAACCAACAAAATAATAAATCATCGAGAGGCTATTATTGATTCTGCATGTTCTGCTATCCTCATCTGCTGCCTTTCTGCAGTGCTCTGAGCGGCTTTCCCGTCAACTGGCTGCATTGCCTCTTATACCTTGCGTTGTCCTTCATCGCCATCTTCTCGTACAACTGCAAAATTATATTCGTATCGTATCTTTTAATTAGAAGAAAACCGAATTGTTCGTGATTGAAAATGATCGCATAGCGAGAGAAATCACAAACCTTTTTCTCGTTTCGAGGGAGTTGGCACCACATTCGACCCAGTTGCTTACTCCTTTCACCAAACGAAGAGGACTGCGCAGAACCCCATGCGGCCATCACAAAAAATGCATATGAAGTACACGGCCTTATAGGGCAACTATGCCTTCTAAGCACTCTCTCAAACACGTCAAACTTTTTCTTCCTTGGCCTCTCCTTCTCACAACGCCTAATCAAACTCCTACTCTCGGACAATGGTATCCGAGGAAAATAGGTCACCGGCCGCGATATCACCCCACTTCTCAGCCTGGTCACAATGTGACTCTCTCCACTTATTCTTGTCTCACAAGAATGTGTTACTTCATTGCCATGATCTTCCACTTCTTGAACATCGTTTGGTGTCATGTACGAAGAAAAACTCGAATTTGCACAAGAATGGTTTTCGGGGAAACATGCATTTGCATCGAGAGAGTTGAGGATGCTGCGATTCTCATGATCATAAGTTTGTTTTTCCTGGACACTGAACTGTACTGAGAACTTCAGATTTCCGGTGTCGCCTCTGACTTGGATGGTGTCTCCGGTGAGAAAACCGGACAGTTGGAGAGGTGTTGAAGGCATCAGACTGTTTGGTGACTGAAATGATTGGTCGGAGTTCATGTCTGCCATTGAAGTACCCAAATCCAAGGCTGTAGGAAAAGAGAGAAGAAGACGAAGATGGGAAGTGAATTAATGGTTGCAGATTTTGATGATGGAGTGTCTCAAGTTTTGTTGCGTGGATGTGAAATGTTGCATCTTTTGGCAATTTTGGCACCTTCTTACGTTGCTTGATTGATGCAAATGAATCAATGATGTCGTTTCGTCACATGGCATTTGGATTTGGTTTATTTCGGTTTGTCATTTTGGACGAAAACTTTAATGAAAATCTCACGGTACTGTTCACTTTAATAAAAAAAAAATTATATTAAAAAGTCAATCATGTACTATTCACTTTACCATTTATTTTGTTCTTATCATTAAAACTCAAAATTTTCAAATTATTTTCTTTGGATGTGCGAAATATAATAAAGATTGAAAACAAGTGTAGTACAAGTGTACTCCCACAGGAAGAAACCAATGTAGTACTAGTACTAGTCTACTCCCACAACAGATACATTTAGGGAATTGGATCCTCTCCTGAGCACAAGCTCTAGAGCCTGCTGACCAACGCACGTGGGCCGTTGGATTTTCATCCAACAATTACATTTACTATAATTTTTAGAGGAACCTCTTGTTTGTAGTCGTTGGATCAAAATCTAACGGTCCACGTGCGCTGGTCAGCAGGCTCCTGAGCTTGTGCTCAGGAGAGGATCCAATTCCTACATTTACCATTCTAGCAATGATAATGCTAGAGAGACCAAATTTTTAAACCAAATGATTTGGTTTAAAATATTTGATATCTCTAGCATTACACTTTCATAAAACAAGAGTTGAAATGAGGAGAAACAGGTCCAACGAGGCCTGTTTTCTTTGATTATTGGACCCGTCCCACCCTGTTAATTCTATGAACCCATCTTGCCCCGTCCCACTGTGTTCATTTTTACAAATTTTCAGACTTGCCCCGTACACACCACGAATCGCATGAACCCAGTGGTCCCGCGAGCCTAGGCCCCGTTCGCCCACCCCTAGTACACTAGTACTAGTACTACATTTGTTACCTAACTTGACGATATCATGTCGACACAATGACACATAAATGTTGACACAATGATGCAGAAGATAGGCCCAATAAAGTGGCCCTCCCGAAATAAATATTACTATTCAGTCTTCTCCCCCGTTGAAAGTCTTAAGCTTTATCAAGAGTTTTCAACTTATTGGACATGGTAGCACCGGTTGCGGTTGCAGCGGCAGTAACAACAGCGCTAGGCACGCCTAGTTCGCTAACCAGCGCACTGGGTCCGTCATGGCAAGGTCATTACCCTCTTCCCCGCTCCATCTCTTCCTCCGTGTGCAGATGGGTTTGCACTAAGTTTATCGGTTAATCTAAATTTACAGGGCTCCACGGAAGTCTGGGAACAGCTCGAAGATTGCAATGGCCAAAGAAACAGGTTTGCTTATTTCGATTTTAACCATTTGAACTCTTTTAGAACATCGTTCAGGATTAATCCTTACAAAAATTAGAAGAATCCAAAACTATTAAGACATTCATTTTTAGAGAAGAAAATGGACGATACAAAGAAAATAGACGACTAAGATTCTACATAAAATCTAAACTTTTAATTCAATGGTCAGATTTTTTAGATTGGCTTACTTTTGATAGACATAATCTTTGAAGAAAGAGCTAAAACATAAATTTAGAAAAAGTAGTGTCGCGAATCCGCCACCTATATTGTTTATTATTTGTATTTAATTTGGAATTTTAATGCTGTGAAAGCAGAGACAATACAGAAGGAAAGTCGGCGCCATTGGTATTAGGGCACAATTTGAGCTGAAGCCTCCTCCATATCCACTGGTAAGTAAGATTTTTCTTCGCATATGAAACTGGATTTAAAAGCTGATTTCAGTAGCTAATTACTGTTTTACCATTGCCTTTTGACCCATTTTCCATGAATTTTCAATATTTCATCTCTTAACTCTATGGAAACTATATGGATAGTAAAATTTGGGTACTTGGATAAGAAACTATAAATTGAGTAGCTATATATTGTTGAGAGTTGTCCTACATCGGTGAGGGACAAGTTTGTTATGTGCTTATATGGTCTTAGGCTACTCCCCATATTGCCAATTGGTTTTATGTTGGAATCTCAATTTCATCATGGTATCAGAGCGGGTTGTCCTCGTGTGAAGCCAAACGGCCACACGCTCTCCATGTCACCCAGTTATTGTCCACGTGTAGGCTTGAAAATCCTCCTTTATGGTGGAATCCCAATTTCATCATATATTGAGAATTCTAGCTAGTTTTGCTGGAAATAAACCATCAAATTCGGGTGCTTGTTTGCGTTGTATGGAAGTGCTGAGCCAATGCTTAAAACTCGACACTTTGTTTTGATGTTCGTTTTGAGCAGGATGCATTGGAGCCGCATATGAGCAAGGAGACGTTAGAATATCACTGGGGGAAGCACCATAGAGGTTATGTGGATAACCTAAACAAGTTGATAGCGGGAACTGAACTAAATGAATTGTCGTTGGAGGATATCATACTTGCTACATACAACAAGGGGGATCTGCTCCCCCCTTTCAACCAGGCAGCGCAGGTATGCTGGCCGTGAGATGATTTCTTATCACGATTTTGAATTGTTCGAGTTGATAATATTCTGTGGTGCGTGGGGAGGTGTATCTCAATATGAAGCTACACATTTGTGTTGAAATTAAGCTTATGTTTGGTGCCATTATGTTAACTGCCTACTTCTTTTTTACCTGTTTGCAGATCTGGAACCATGACTTCTTCTGGGAATCTATGAAACCAGGTGGCGGGGGAAAACCATCCGGGGAACTTCTAGAACTAATTAATAGAGACTTTGGTTCTTTTGAGAGATTGATTGACGACTTAAGGTCAGCTGCAAGTACACAGTTTGGCTCTGGCTGGGCTTGGCTTGCATGTTAGTAGTTGCCTACCCATAACACTTCATATTATTTGCTTGAAGATTGATATTCCTCTGATGCCGAATTTTGCGTACGCTAATATGTGTATCGTCTTTTTCCAGATAAAGCGAATAGACTTGATGTTGGAAACGCAGTAAATCCTAAGCCATCTGATGAAGACAAGAAGCTTGTAGTGGTGAAGAGTCCTAATGCCGTTAACCCCCTTATTTGGGATTATACTGTGAGTATTACTACTGGCTCAATTCTTCCGAAATCATTTTTAATGTAAAGATAGTCTAAACGAAATTATGCCAATCGCATTAAGCTTTTTCTTCCTTGTGCGTAATGAGTTTTCTTGTTGATTTTATGCAGCCGCTCCTTACTATCGATGTTTGGGAGGTATTTGACATTTACCATGTTTCTTCCTATTTGAAAATAGTTATATTGCTCAGTTCTTTTCGGAAAAGCCATTACTAACGGATTTGAATTTGCTTTTGTTTCAACAGCATGCTTACTACCTCGATTTTCAGGTGAGTCTCTGTTTATTGAGCATTTGAACTTTCAGCTTATGATTCGGGCCTATGCATTCTGTCTAATACCAATGCATCTAACAACCACATCTTCGATTCTTTCCTCAGAACCGGCGAGTAGATTACATATCAATCTTCCTGGAGAAACTCGTATCATGGGAAGCGGTCAGTTCTAGGCTTGAAATGGCAAAGGCTCGAGCTACTGAAAGAGAGGAAGAAGAAGAGAAGAAGAAAAGAGAGGAGGAGGAGAAGACATTAGACGGCGAAGTTCCAGAGATTTATGTGGACAACAAGAGCGATGACTCAGAGACCGAATGAGTTCAGTTTATTTGCAGTTAAGACAACCCGGAAGCAATTTTGGGCTCGTTGCCTTCTATGCTGCACCGAATGTGATAGAGATCATTTGAGTTTAGGCGGCGCCATGTACTAAATTTTGCGGTATCCATAACTAATGAGCAGATAGAACTTAGGCGTATGACATGTATATTTCTCTGTGGTTTCCAACAATATATAGAGCTGTTCATGTACATTTTCTTCTCTCTATAAACTAACTACATCTTGTATCCACCTTGACGGATAAGAGAGTATCCGGAGGAGAGATTTTGTCAATGCTTTGTGGTCCGAAGATCTCCCAGAATCGAAGTGTCTCATCTCCGACGGCTGATACCGCAGTTAACCCATCGGGGCTCTGCACCGAAAATCAATCAAAAGAAACCAAGTTAGATGCTTTGGAAGATATATATGTTACTTCAACATTCAAATTTAAGTAAAACTAAACCCCCCAAGAAAGCAATGTGAATTCGTACATTGAAATTCAAATTTCGGGTCGGTGTTGTTCTGTTGGTCATCACACAACGACAATAATCGAACCTGAAACAAAGTTTAATTTTTAATACAAAAATTAAATTGCGTTTTTGGAAACCTAAATGGCTTTGAACGGCTAAAATATCATGTACATCAAGTCAAAGCTGTAAATTTGAACCGGGCCGTCGTTCTTTTTCTGGAAAGGTATCATGAGTCCAAATTTTACTTCTAACGCCAATTTTGAAAATTTCCGTTGCGTCCCTTAGTTTTCTTTAGCTCCATTTGATTTTCAATTCATTCAGCCATTTGTTCTAATGAGACCGCTTTGGAGGCGAGTAGGGAGCACCAATCCGATTGGAGTTCCTGCATTTTTCGATAATTTGTGTTGCTGGCGAATTGGTAATGCAGAGAATAAACACTCCTTTTACTTGGCGATAAAGAAGAAGCTGAAGATGATGAAGGAAGAAGATGCAAAAGAAAATATCTTTGATTACAGAAACGACATCTCCCGCCAAATAGATTTATATAAGGGAGGAAATCCAGCCGTTGCTTCTGTTGAGACCACTGGGGCCCACCTGGGTTTAAATGGGGTCTCTGACTTTCTGGCGTAGGTGTGTCAATCAGGAGGATCCTTTCCGGATCCTCTTTATGGAAATATTTTTTGATGTAACCGTCATACGAGATGGTACACCACGTGTTTTTATAAAAATGGTGTGTTACTTATGTGTGTTAAAAGGTTAATAACTTAAAAATTAAAAATTTCCACCACTTGCATAAAAACACGTGATATAATATCCGTGTTCCCATCACAACTAAAAATTTCTCCTCTTTATGAGGATCCTGGAGATCTTTAGATCTTATCCGTTCATCATATATCGTGCGGTTAGTTTTAGTCAGATACTATTTATATTTAATTTAAAATAATTTCTGGCTGCATGATGTACGATGAACGAACAGGATTTGAGAATCCCCAAGATCCTCACAAAGAGAATCCGGAGATGATCCTCATTCGTCAATCACCCTTGTAAGGTGTGTTAATCACACTTGTTATTGTCCACGTGGATATCATATCACGCTTTATCGGAACTCTTGACGGTTAGATTAACATAAGTATGAATATGAGAGAAAAACATCATTTTATGTATGTAAGTGAGACGAAAAAAAACTTTTGGTATGAAGGTGAATTTCACAATACTTGATGATAGTAAAGTGAAGGTAATGTACCTACATTTTTAGGACTAATTCTTCTTCCATGGTATGTATATTGAGTGGTCCGAAAAATCAAAGATTAGAACCTGCATGTAGAGATTTAATAGATCTTTGCAACAATTAGATCTTGCATAAAATATGAACCACTACCCGTTTCTTACAGCCCACTGATATCTTGTGATTTACTCGGAATTTCACTTTTGTCTCTATATTTTTTCTTGCATTTCCGTTATTATAGTTTCATTTTATTTTCACTTTAGTTCCATTTGTCAACTAAGTTAATTTTTTCTTTCATTTTTGTGCACATCTTCTCATTAGAAACTACATTATTCCAAGGATAAAAATAAAAGAAAAAGCACATAACTTTAGCCAAATTAAAAAGCTCACACCTTATTTCATGAGAGAGTCCTAATTTCCCCAATTTTGCTCAAGGGAGCAGAGAAGGCCTGGCATGAGGAAGAAGAGCCTGTCAACTTAGCCAGGATGCCTGCCTGGCCAAACAGGAGTTTCCTCACTCAGAACACAAATTGGAATTCGTCTCTCTAGGTAGAGCAGGCAAGTCATCCTCGGCTACCAAACACGGCTCTTACTCTCATGTGAGACCTCTCTCCCTCTTCTTATTTCCCATGACGCGGTCGACTGTTAACTGACTGTTCGTAGGCTCAAATCTCGTGGAGATTTCATAAACCCACTACAATGCTGAGACGAGGATGCAAAGATTAGATTTTGAACTCGCTATTAATAACCTGTAAAAAGAACAAAAATAATTTCAGTGCCAAAATTATTTTTTGTTATGTCCTTTATGTGTGTGTGTGTGTGTGTGTGTGTGTGTACCATTTAGCTGACACCAAGGAATATATTCTTTGGAGAAAATGGGAGGACCATGGAGGTCAATCTTCCAGCCAACTTAATCCTGTAAGAAAGCAATTTGTTCTTGCCTAAATGAGGCACATTGCCAATTGCCAGTTGCCATTTTAGGCCAAATGTTACGGTGCTTTTGGCTTTTGGCGTTTTGATGCTGCAAAAACCATCTTTGAGGTGCTTTTGTGATTGAGATGTGATTCTACCTAGTGGGCAACATCACTTATTTGAAATGCCACATATTGAGAAAATCAATGCCTTGGCCAGTAACCAATATTTGTTTTCGTTGACTGGTTTTTTAGGCCTCATCACTTCATCCATTTGGCTAAAGGGTTTTTGCTTTGATGGATGTATAATTGCTTTTAGGGTTTGCGTAGAAACACTTTCTATATTTGTGAGTGCTTTTAGAATGATTGAAAACGATTTTGGTGAAAATTTTTGAATTCAAAAAGCACTTCTTGTAAGACACATGTGCGCTGTGAACCCACGTCTGCAGCTACGTTAGTAGTTATCTGAGATTATTGGGGCAACTGCGCGTGTGGAGGAAGTACCAGAAGGGCTGCACATAAGCTTTCATGTGGGTGGGCCTCATTTCCCACGCAAAACCCAATTGGTTTCACCATGGTAATCCTATATAGTCTTCAATTGTGGGAAAACTTTTTTTAGGGCCTCGAACAATCCCTCTACTATAGGAATTGGCTCCTGCCCCATCGAAAGCCACCAAGTCTTTAAACTTAATGACATACGATGGTGGTAGGGATAATTTTTAGGACACAATTTTGAAGTTAAGTCTTGATGTTACAGTGTATTATGTTTGGAGGGAGCGGAACAACCGTAGATTCAACTCAAATCAACCCGCTGCAGTGGTTGTCAACTCAATTAAGTCCACCATTAGACTTCGATTGAGTTCTTTGAAAATCACCAATTCCGCTGCTAATGACTCTACTTTACGGGAATGGAATATAACTATGAATAGTTAGTTTTTTTTTTTTTTTTTGCTGCTTTGATGCAGTGTTGTTAGCTTTGCTGTCTGTTTTTCTTTTAGCTACAGCTTTTTGTTGCGTGTTTGTATTTTCAGCTACTCTTTGTTGCTTGTATTCTATTTTTCTCATCAATATATTTTATTTACCAAAAAAAATAATAATAATTAGATGCTCTTAACTTCTCCAGAATAATACTCTTATGATGTGCATCATATTTATTGTACCATAGTTCGGCCTAACTATTTGGGCCTTGTTACTTGCCCACTTTGTGCGTCATCAATATTTACACGTTGGTTAACTATAATAATTATTAATTAATTATTGATAATGTTGCATTGCTCCTCACTTCCCTGAATGATTTTCAAGTTAGAATCTTTCAATTTTTTTTTTAAATGATTTGTTTTGAAAAAAAACAACATTAAATTATCAAGACAATTTTAGTGCATGAGCTCGCATGTCGACTTGAAAACCAAATGTTTTGAATCAAAAAATTAAAGGAAAACTAATGAAAAGAGCTTGAAAACTTTGAGTTTTAACAAAAATGACAAAAAGGTGTTGTAAGTGAATAGTACCAGGATTGACTTTTTAGAGTAAAAATGTGGTTTTTCGTTAAAGTGAACAGTACTGAGAGTGTTTCATTAGAGTTCCCTAAAATTAATTGAGAGAGGAGGGGATACGAATTCAAAACGTCGGCCTGCCCTCTTCTAACAATCTCAATATTTACCTTAACTTTCATGACTGTCGTTGTCACCACCAGTTTTGCAATCTCTTACGATTATTTGGTCATAATCATCATTCCAAATAAGAGAAATGCTAAGAGGATATTTTCAAAAGTGAGATTCTCTATAAACTCTCAATCACTTCACAGTTTAACATAAACTTCCTTGTTAACAATTATAAACATTTAAAATTTGAAAATGGTAACGATTATTAATAAATTAGCCCATTGTGAGGTAAGTGAGAGGTATTCCTATTCATTGGTAAGTGAGAGGTCTTAGGTTCGATTCTCGCTAAAGGCAAATTTGAACATAATCATCATTCCAAATAAGAGAAATGCTAAGAGGATATTCTCAAAAGTGAGATTCTCTATGAACTCTCTATCACTTCACAGTTTAACATCAACTTCCTTGTTAACAATTATAAACATTTAAAATTTGAAAATGGTAACGATTATTAAGAAATTAGCCCATTGTGAGGTAAGTGAGAGGTATTCCTATTCATTGGTAAGTGAAAGGTCTTAGGTTCGATTCTCGCCAAAGGCAAATTTGAACCACATTATTGCTAGCCCATTGGGAGGCTTAGCCTGCTCCTCCACCTCCTTTAGTGTATATAATATCGTTTGTTCAAAACTATAATAAAATCTATGTAGAATCCACTTAAAATCCACATTTTTTATGAAAGTCAATTGAACTCTGCAAGCGGCCATTTACCATAGTAGTGGAAATGAGTTGAACTTTTATGTGACGACGTATGTTCGAACTTCGTCGGTGGCTAATATAATAAAATCTATCGTTTGACAAAAAAAATAAAAAATAAAAAACTCTCTGAAATTCATGTATTGATAACTTTTTTCTCTTTTCCCAGACCTCATATAATTTGTATGCATTGTTTTAGGTAAAGTCCAATTTGTGGTGTAGTAGTTCTTAAACGTGCCAATCGTCGCAACGACGCCGTTTAGAACACCTACAGCAAAACGAAATAGAAGAAGCGAACTGCAGCCGCAGGATTTTCTTTCTACCACGTGGTTCAATCTCGGACGTTCGTGATCAGCCATAAAAGTCGGAATCTAGAACTACTCACACTATCAAAGACAAGCGGATAAACACGTCAAAACCCCAAAATACCCCCATAAATTTCCTAAAATTTCAAATTTGAGCCGCATTCACCTCAGCTCCAAACCCCAAACACGCCGACCGCCCGATCCCAAATATATAATATCCCCAAAACCAAAAACCTCAAAAACCAGACGCACTCGCGCTCTCCGAATCACACTGAATCCGACAACCACCGGGGGAGAGAGCCATGGAGGAGCAACATGAGCACGAGGTTTACGGCGCCGAGATCCCCAACGACGACGGCGAAGACGTCGACATGTCGTCCAGGGCCGATGGGGCCGACGACGAAGACTACAACGACGACCCTAACTCCAAGGTACTCCCTCAATCGATTACACATCGAAAATCTGGTGGCCTAGCTTCTTGTTTGACCATGTTGGGCTGATTCGGGTCGGGTTCTGGTTTCTATGTGGTGTAGGAGCTGGAGGACATGAAGAAGCGGCTGAAAGAGATAGAGGAGGAAGCCGGCGCTCTCCGCGACATGCAGGCCAAGGTCGAGAAGGAGATGGGCGCTGTTCAAGGTATCCAATTTTACTTTTCGTTTTTTTAATCTAATTTCTTTTGGGTGTTTTGGGCATGATTTTTTTTATCTAGGGTTAGTCTGCATTGGGTTTTTTGGTGGGTTCGAATTGGAACTTAATGATGACTGTGTAGGTAATGCTGCTAGGTCATAATCCTCTATGTTGTCCCTTTGTGATGTGTGTTGGGGATATGCTGATTCACAAGAGCTTAAACGAATGGAAAGATTTAATTGTTTTGAATTTTGATGCGTCTAACTGTCCCACGTTGTTAGTTATCGCTTATTGAATGGATAGTGTACCCTAACTGGAAGGTTATTGATTTTGTACAATTGGGTTTTTGTAGTTTTGTTCTGAGTACATGTTCGCATGCTGAGACCCATGTTGTTAGTCGTTGCCGGTTGAATGGATGGGGTACCCGAATTGGGAGGTTATTGGTTTTGTACAATTGGGTTTTGGTAATTTTGTTCTGGGTACATCCACACTTGCTGTTTGGTTTACTAGGATTGTTTGTCATTGTCCTTTTATGTAAGCTAGCTTAAAGAACAGGAAAGTTTTAATGATACGCGTTAACTGACCATGGTTGTCCGTTGTTAAATGTATAAACTTCCTGATTCCGATGGTTATTCATTTTAATTTATTGGGTTTTGTAGATTTTGTTCTGCATTTGTGTATGCGTGTAGTTATTGCCCTTTTATGTAAGCTAGATTAGTCCTTTTGTGTAACTATCCTTTTGTGTAACTATGTGCCCTTAATATGATAACTAACTGAACTCTCTTAGCTTCTGTCTAATTGTACATCTTTGGTCTTTCTCTGTTGGTCACACAGTAGGCTGACATAATGTGAATGAGTACTATTTCTGCACTGCTCATGTTTGTAATCGATGAGATATGATATCCCCTATCTAATTTTACTCTAAGGTTTAATGCTTCAAGTAATGACATCTATCAGTATAGCTAATACTTTTTGTTTTATGTGTTTTGATTGTGAATGAAGATACCTCGAGTGGTTCTGCGTCTCAGGCTGAGAAGGAGGAGGTGGATTCTAGATCCATCTATGTTGGTAATGTGAGGCTCAAAAACCCTTTCTCTTTTTCATTAAAGTTTGGACTTTATTATATAGTGCATTTATGTTTTCATGCTCTGCTCTCTGTCTTTCCATCCTGTCAAATTTATTTTGGAGGGACTCAAATCTTTCAGAATTTAAAGATATCGTAGTTTAGGATATGACTGAATTTATCTTGGGAGAGACTTTCATTTTTGCTTTTGGCGTTCCCTAGGACAGGGTGCTATCCACGGAGTTTGTTTGCTGTCCTTTTCTTGCACTTACTAGGTGACTGTATGTTTATATAGACTCTTTTTTTTTCCGGTAGGCTACACATTATTGAAGGTTTCTGAGTGTGATTAAGTTCTCGTTTGAGATTTGAATTTCAAGTAGCCACTTACTGTCCACAATCTAACTAGTTTGGATAATTTCTGGTACAGATATAGTTGGGTCAGTTGACTTAAACTGGAACAAGTACTTAGTATTAGTTAATGTATAGTTCAATGTACTTATAAAATGCAGTCTCAAGTTTTAGTATGCTTTCCTAAGTCTTTGACTAAGTTCATCTGCACTAGGGAAAAATTTCTTTCTAAATTGTTACCTTGTGATATTTGCGATCCTCTCTGTAAGTAGTAAGACCAAGAGTGAGAACCTATTGTTTGATTTCACCTTCAGGTTGATTATGCATGTACTCCTGAGGAAGTCCAGCAGCATTTTCAGTCTTGTGGAACCGTTAACAGAGTTACAATTTTGACCGACAAGTTTGGTCAACCAAAGGGATTTGCTTATGTTGAGTTTGTTGAAGTTGAGGCTGTTCAGAATGCTCTCCTGTTAAATGAGTCAGAATTGCATGGCCGTCAATTGAAGGTACTTGATTTTTTGTTTCTTTTCTTATTTTATGTAGATAGGTCTCTCTACTTATTTGAATATTGATTTTTTAGCGATCAATTGGGTAACAGTGATTGGTTTTGGTATATTAACAGGTCTCCGCTAAGCGGACAAACGTTCCTGGACTCAAACAGTATCGAGGAAGGCGGCCCAACCCATTTTTTCGATCTCGGAGGCCTTTCATACCTGCTGCACCCTTCTATCCTTCGTTTGGTTATGGGTAAGTACAATGATCTCCTTTTCTACTTGTTTGCCTTGTAAGGAAGTCAAGAGGCATAGAATTTTGGAAAATTATATGTTGTCTCCATCAATGTGCCAGCCTATATTTGTAACCATTTAGTGCGTTTGCGTGTAGATTTTAGGTTGTTGATAGTATACAAGTAATACATGTGAAAGGATATATACTACCAAATGCGTGCGGCTGTTTAATTTATGATACTTGCAGCTACATCATAACATGTGCTGCTACATTTTGGTTGTATTATATGACTTAAAGGTATTATTGTTCTTTGTATGCCTCACGCACTTTCCAACAGAAAAAACAAATGAATAAAGAGGAAAAAAGCCGAAACTACTGAAATGTCAAAAATGGAAACTAGAATGACCTTAAGCGGCTTGGCCATTTCTCCTAGGCTGCTCTGTACGTCCTTTAACAAGTTGTCAGTATTGCAGCTTGTTCAAGTTTATTGAAAATTTGTTTCAGTTATTTCATTAGTTGCACATCTCGAAAGTTGTAGCTTTGTTATGCTTTCTCTCACTCACTCAGAAGCTTTGCATGAAACTCCCCATATTATGACATGCCATTGATTTGAATTTTCTTGTCTGCAGGAGGGTTCCAAGGTTCAGGCGGCCCATGAGGTATCGGCCATACTAATGATGAAGTACATCACTAGCAGGTGGCCACATTATACGAAAGGTATGTTTGGTTATGGTCCTATACCATACCAATGACGAAGTTAAATTGCTAGGTGGCTACACTGGGTGAGGGTCATATATGTTTTATTACGGTCGTATCTATAGTTTTGGGAACAGGAGAAAAGAAGTTGAACAAACCATTTGCATGGCATAGGCCGACTTGATTCTTTCTCGAATTTGTAGTGCACGAAAAGAGTTTAGTTTATGTGTGGAGGGGATGAGAGAAGGCAAATGTGCAAATGCTGTATCAGAGAGGATTCCTTTTTACAGATTTCTGTGCTTAGATTTGTAGTTTTAAGACCGGTGTGGATGTTTCGTAACATTGAAGGATCCCCTACTCCAAGAACTGTTTATGCATTTGATTTTATGATTGGAATAGTGAAATAGAACTATGAACTGTCTTCCTTTTGGGTCAAAATGTAAGTTTTTATTGTTCTAGTGAATTGATTCGAGTATATATCTGAACGGGGCTGTTCAACTTGGACTTGGATTGTCTGCCCTCCTCATCTCATACCCTCCCCATGCCCTCCTATATTCTGTGGTCACGGTTAAACCACGTTAACATTTTATATTGATTTTTTTATAGAAATAATAAGACAAAAAGCAATGCGAATATAAAATGTTGACGTGGTTTAACCGTGACCACAAAAATAGGAGGGCTAGAGAGGGTATAGGATGGGGAGGGCAGACAATCCAAGTCCGTTCAACTCGGGCTGACCACGAGAATGTCTGACTTAACTGGTTAAGTTATAAGTCTCGTGCAGGTTCAAAGTTGGGGAGGGGAGTTCCCGCTCGTGCATGGGGGTAGTATGGTAGCTCTAGCTCGGGTCAATGTGGGCTCAAAAACTTGGGAAAGAGATCCTCCCCGGATTTCTTATATCGAAGTCCATCAATTAATTAATCCGGGCTCTTGAAAATTTGATCTAATGATTAAAATTATTATAATTTTTAAAGAAGTATCTTGTTTGTAATTGTTGGATCAAATTTCAAAAATTGTTTAATTTTACTTGATGAATTTGAGATTCTACTCGATATCAACAATATGTGAGCTCAAAAATTGGGAAGGATCCTCTCCGGATCTGTGACCTCCGGATCAAGCTATGTTGGCCGTTTGATTCAAAGCCTGCGATCAGAAATCTTTCTTCTCCTTCCTCTTCCCTTGGAAATTGAAGACGAAGAACTCCTGGGTCTCACACAATGGGAATTCTTCGACGTCTCCGACGCCGACCCCAAGGAAAACCACCACCACTGCTCTGACTTCGAACAAACAGGTAAAGGCAAGCTTGTTGTGGCTGATCCGATCCCCGCCCACTGTCATCGTCGGTGGCAGCGAGAGGAAGATGGGTTACAGAGTCCGTGCTGATTGTTAGTAGAAATGATCCTTACCCGATGATCAGGAGGATCCGGAGTGAATTGATACAGAGAGAATCATTACCCGAAAATTGGACAATGAACAAAAACACAATGGTTTTTTTTGTAGAAAAATTAATGAAAAATACTTGAAAATTTTGAGTTTTAACGATAAGGATAAAGTGAATAGTACCAGAAAATGTGATTTTTTCATTAAAGTGAACTGTACGAAGAATTTTTGGTTAAAATTCCTTTATTTTTTAGGAAAATTAACGAAAAGTCTTAAGGAACTTTAGTTTTAATCAAAATGACAAAATAAAGTTGTAAGTAAATAGTATTAAAAATGACTTTTAAAGATAAAAATATCCTTAACGTTAAAAGTGAACAATATTAAAAATGTTTTATTAAGATATTTTTTAATTTTTATTTTTTTAGGAGTACCCACAATGGTTTCTTAATTGTTTATTTAGGGAAGACAAGTGCCCCAATGGGCTAAGTATTCATTTTCGGATTGAGCTCTGTATTGGTTTACCGGACCCGGCCCATATTCGTTGCTCTAGTTGCTACGAACTGTTACAGAGGAAGCTAGAAAAAAGGGGGACGACTCAGTCGTTAAAAATAAATTAGAATCAAAACAGCAGAAAATTGCTCCCCAAATCTGGGTGCTTAGCGTTTGGAAGTGTTGATATTTAATGGCGTCCGGCACAGAGAGCGATGACACAGCCGATACTCCACCGCCGTAAGCAAACCCACCTTCTTCCTTTCCCCTTTCACTTCAATTCATCGCTAAAATTTCTACCTTTTCTCTTTGATTCCTGTACTTCTCGGCTGCCGAACACATCTTGGGTCATTTCTTAAATTTTACCCGTTTGATTGCAGCAGAGAAAGAACTCGCTCAATTGATTGATTTGTGCTTGTAACTGCAGGACAAGCAGTATTTACAAGGACCCAGATGACGGGCGGCAGCGATTCTTGCTCGAATTGGAGTTCGTCCAGTGCCTCGCAAACCCCACTTACATTCACTGTATGTACATATATCTCTTAGTATTTGGATTTGGGTTTTTTCGCTAGAAATGTTTAGTGGGTCTTTCCGTTTGAGGCGGAGCAGCTTATATTTTGTATATGCAATGCAGATTTGGCTCAGAATCGTTACTTTGAGGATGAGGCTTTCATTGGGTACTTGAAGTATCTTCAGTATTGGCAGCGTCCCGAGTATACGAGATTTATAATGTGAGCGAAAACCCGTCTCATGTGATAGCTTTGTGGTCATTTTGAGCCGATTGAATAGTCTAAGCATCCTTTTCTGAGGTTTTGTTTTTTTGACCCTCGAAGTATTTTCTTGTAATTGTTCAGGTATCCTCATTGCCTGTTTTTTCTTGAGCAACTTCAAAATGCGAACTTTCGGGCTGCAATGGCACATCCCGGAAACAAGGTCAGTTTCTGATGCATTTTCTCCCTCGAATTTTAATGGTTTGGAACTATTTGTTGGAGCCAGCAGTATGTTCATCTGGTTTTTTGTGATTTCTAGGAATTAGCACATAGGCAGCAATTCTATTTCTGGAAGAACTATAGGAACAACCGTCTGAAACATATTTTGCCGAGACCCCTTCCTGAACCTGTTCCCGCACTTCCTCCACCTGCTCCACCTCAGCAAGTTGTGCCTCCCGTTCCACCCGTTCCAGCTACAACTGTTTCTGTTACAGCTACTGCCCCAGCCCCTTCTCCTATGCAGTATTCGATGCCCCCCGGGTCTGCTCCAAAAGTTGAACCGAGGAATACTGGGGTTGATCGAAGAAAGAGGAAGTATGTTAATTAACTGTATTTATTTTATGCTAACTGTATTTTGGAAGCACAAGTTTTCCGCAATTTTTAACCAAAAAGACCAAACTAGATCAGTTTCCTGATTTATGCGTGTGGTTATTACTATAGGAAAGACGGTTAACTTGACAATATCATACATAATAACAGCAATGGAAAATAAATCAGGCGAGGTGAGTTTTAATTTCTTGGTCTTCAGACTTTTGAGAATAGCATTATGACAATCTATGGTATCCACCGCTTCTGCATTTTTCTCTTGTTTCTTTGATAGTGATTAGCTAATTCACGAAATATTTTTGCTCTATGAAATTATTGGTTAGCAGATTAAGTTGGTATTACTTTATTGTGGCTTCTCGGGGTTTCCAGGGATCCTCACTTGCATGTTCAGTGCTCCCCTTTCTACATTCAATCATCATTTATTGAGCCTGGTGTGGAATCACCATCATTAAACATTCATTGTTTGGTCTGGCTGCTGGTCTAGCGATCCCTCCAGGGTCCGATCAGATCAACCAGCGACCGGTTTACGGCAAGACTCTCTTTCTCAAAGGCTTTGTTCATGCTAACCCCAAAGAGTCAAGTCACTTGTTCACGAAATCTTTCTGCTCTATGAAATTATTGGTTAGCAGTAGTGTTCAGTGACTTGTGTATTTCAATCTGCACATTCCATCAGATTATACAATTTTCACTGCCAGGAGAAAAATGGGGAGGAGAACAGAAAAGAATCAAAGAAGTTTTCTTTTTCATTTCTTTCATACTTCTGTTTTGTCTTTTTTCTTCGGGAGGGGGTGGGTGTTAGAATACCACAGGGGAGTGGGAATAGTTCCTGGGGCAACTTCGAATTGCGACCAGGTCTTGTGAATGTCACTCCCAACTGTTCATGGTTTTTTGTTGTAGTCTTTGTTCCCCCTCCCACCTATATATGGCAATGATGATATGTGCTCTTGTTAAACTACACCTCTCAGGATGAGAACAGCTACTCTGCAGTTGTTCGTTGAGCAGATCTAATTAAAATCTGAGCCATCCGGTGGGAGTGAGTTATAAGATGTTTATTTCATTGATGTCAAAGTTGTACTAGTGTGATGTTTTCAAGTAGATGGAGCTACTCTATTGCATCCTGGTAATCTTGCCAGGCATCATGCATATTTTTGGGCTGGCTTTTTTCTCATTTTCTGTTTCGGTTGGGAAGTATTGGTGTAGGGCACCTTAATTTTTGTCTGGCCTACGCGTTGTAAGGGGACCCTTGTTTCAATTTTTTTGCATAACTTTCATTTAAATTAAAGTATATTCACAACTATTCTGTCACTGTATTTAAGTGCAATGGTATGTTTACCCTATTGGCTGACCATTTGAGATTATGGACGGTCTGCGGTTTTCTTTACCCAGTGGCAGAATCTTGGCACTTTTAATATTTACAGTATTATGAAACCATGGGAAGAATGGCCTTTGGCTGGGACATATAAGTTGTGACAGTTAATTTTTTTGTCCATTATATTTCAGGCATTTAGTATGTGTTTTGAAAGTTATCGTTGATTGTAGGAAAATGGCCAAGAACTGAAGGTGCAGGACCATACATCTTTCAGAGAGATTCTGACATTACGATGTTAGAATCTGGGGCACTTATTATGAGCACGCGCGGGAGTTTGGTGAGATCGTGACATTACATCACAAAGCTTTGAGAAGATCGTTCGGTATTTTCTTTTTTAGCTTGGAAGACGGTTTTGTTTATGCCCTCTAGTAGTTTCGATTGAGTTGAAGATCCGATGAGGTGCCTTGCTAAGGGCCTAACTCAAAACTGTCCTTCGATCGGGTTGTCTATCTTTACTAGTAGCGTAAAATGTACTTTGCTTTGGTTGAGTTGAATGATTTTTCTTTGAATTCGAACTCAAGGATGATATAAAGTGTATGGCTATTACAAGGAAATCTGTTTTTATGGGTCATACATGTGCTCTTGGTTTTTGGATAGTGCGATTCACACGCATTTTTATCTTTCACACACTATGTTAATTTCTTGCCATTGATTTTCAATTCATACGGCCGAAAGTTGTGAGGTGCATGAGAAGTAAAAATGGGTGTGGATAGCGCTTATCGGCGACAAACTTGACTAGTAACTAAGGTAAACAACCAAAGCATCTCAAAAGGCAAAATGATAGATGGAACAGATCAATTTTGTTTCCGTTGGAGCCTCCAAGCCGACGCACCAAATGCCATAACATTCTAAAAATAGTTGTCCTTTGAAAGGACTTGTAAATAAGTTAGTTACGAGTGTTTACCATGATACTCGAGGTCTTGAGTTTGATTCATCCTCTTTACTACCGAGTGTACAAAATGATAGATGTTCTCTAGGTGCTAGCCAAGCAAACAAAGTTTCAAGAAGAGAGAAATCGTACGTTCCTTGAATCCTCATGCATGTGCCTATTTTGTTAAGAGAATCATCAAATCTTGGACCTCTCCGGTCTCCACTTATTTACTAGGTGGTTTTGCGATGAATGTTCAGAGTCTTACGTTATAACATTAGAACATATTATCTTCATGTTTAGGCTGCTAAGTATGTCCTCATTCCAAATTCTGTCTTGCTGAGATCGAGCTCTCTCGTGATCGACACCTCATTAAAACAAGCTTATTCTAGTACTACATAACGAAGGACAAGGATCCTCTTCGGATCCTTTTTGTAGAGATCAAGAGAACAATCAATTGTGTTTGTTCATCGTATTAGAAATTATTTTAAATTTTAATTTTAAATTGAATATAATCGAGATCAAGCATGCTTCGTTTACTAAATAATCGAGTGTTGGGAAAATAATATTATTCAGATGCATTGCATATCACCTCTTAAATTGAAAGCAAATAAAAAGGACAAAACCAAGCATATCTCTGTCCACGTCATAACCAATACGCGGCGAAACGTCGGTCCAATTTAGTAACCTGGCGCGCGGACTGCCGCAGTTGGTCTCCACCTGGCAAAATCTCATTGGCTGTGGGCCATCTCCCTCCTATTCAACTCTGAGTTGTCGTGACGGGGAATTAAGGGTACGCAGACGGGACGGGACGGGACGGAACGGGACGGGACGGGACAGAACGAAGGTGTAATTTTTGAAAAATACATGGGGTATATTTGTCTTAAAATGGTAAAACAGTGTGTTCCACAGATGTGGAACAAACCCGTTCCAGGGGGGAGGTGGGACGCAAAAACACCCAAAATCTGTCCCGTGGAACAGCCCGTTCCACCCATTTTTGGCGTACCAAACGCGGGACGGAACGCCTCGTCCTGTTCCGTCCCATCCCGTCCCACGTACCAAGCGCACCCTAACGGACTGGGATGCCAAATACGCGGGTGACAACTGACAAATACATATACGAAATAAAATGGTAATTAAAAAATAAAATTGTAATTAAAAAATAAAAAATAATTCTAATTAATTAATTAATTAATTTGTTGATGCCATGCACATAAATTTCACGTCAAGATCTTGCCCCCTTAAAATCTGCTAAATTAAGCTGGCTGCGCTTGACTGCTCACTCTACTGACCATTATGCCCTTGCACCTCACGACTCAAGAAAGAACTGATTCAAGTGGCGATTTCGTAAATTCATAACTGTTAATACTAGCTATTGCCTTGACCGAGCTCTAGCTCTTCAATCTTATCCCTAATCCTGATTAGTGTATCCATCTAAGCACACAAACAGCACTAATCTGTCCCTCTCTCTCTCTACTTTCTCTCTCTAAAATCAGCGGCAGCCTTCGTTTTCTACCACCCCTCTCCCTATATAAGCTCACCAACCACTTCACCCTTTGCCCAACTCTGTGTCTTCATTTTTTACCGTCTCACTTACCCCATTTCACCATTGTTACCGGAGCCATAAGTTACCTTCTTGTGAATTTGAAGTTTTTTTCTGGTGCTTTGAGCATTTCCCATCACAGGTTCTCTCTGTTTTCGAGTTTGATCAGCAGCCATGAATGCCCTCGCTGCAACGAGCCGCAATTTTAAAAACGCTGCGCGTATTCTCGGACTCGATGCTAAGATTGAGACGAGTCTCTTGATCCCCTTCAGAGAGATCAAGGTTGTTGTTCATCAGCTGTTTTTTGTGTCTTTTTTTTTGTTTTGTTTAAATCTCAAATTTTGATTAAGTTGTGTTTGTTTCTCGAGAAAGTTTTGAACTTTTTTTTTCCTGTGTGTGTTGTTGGATTAAGGTGGAGTGCACGATTCCCAAGGACGATGGAAGCTTGGTGTCGTACGTTGGATTCAGAGTGCAGCATGATAATGCACGTGGACCAATGAAGGGAGGGATTAGATATCATCCTGAGGTGACGATGATGTCTTAATTTGGTTTTTGTTTTCGTTTTGTTAGTCTTATGTTTTTCTTCTTTTTCATGATCTGGTTGTTGAAATATCATTTAGGAGGGAAGAGTAATGGTTAAAGATATTAGCTTTTCGAACCCAAGTGTCGAGGGAGGGGGTGGAGTAACGTGTTAGGATTATGATACGTTCAAGGCTCGATTCCCTTCAGTAACGTAAAAAAAGATATGAACTTTGATTCTAAATGGTTTGGCTAAACTGTTCATCTGTAATCACACAAGAAAACATCGGCATAGATTACCGAAATGTATGTCTTCTGTTGGTGGATTCTGTATCGAATTTGTTGTTGGTTTGTTTCTTAAAGGTTGATCCGGATGAAGTGAATGCCCTGGCTCAACTCATGACCTGGAAGACTGCTGTGGTCGACATTCCATATGGTGGAGCCAAGGGTGGAATAGGATGCACCCCCAGGGACTTGAGTTTAAGCGAGTTGGAGCGTCTGACTCGCGTCTTCGCTCAGAAAATCCATGATCTCATTGGAACTCATACTGATGTTCCCGCACCCGATATGGGCACCAATGCTCAGACCATGGCATGGATGTTGGATGAGTACTCCAAATTTCATGGTCACTCACCGGCTGTTGTCACTGGAAAGCCAATCGTAAGTATTCGACACTCGGAAAATTAAGCTAAAAATCGGTTTCCTAGAATTCGATCAAATACTTGTCACTGGAACTGTCTTAAGTTTTCTCTTGTATTTGGGTTTTTAGGATCTTGGGGGATCACTAGGTAGGGAGGCTGCAACTGGACGCGGTGTCGTTTTTGCAACAGAAGCTTTACTTGCAGAATATGGGGAAGTCATGCAAAGGGCTGCTTTTGTTATTTCAGTATTGTATGCACAATTGATGTCGTCGTGTGCATTGTTTATGAAGTTTCGGAAGTGGGTGATTAAGTGACTTTATCGGTTGGGTTTGGGTGTGGAGTAAAGTGCAGTTAAGAGAAATGACGGTTGGGTGTAAAGCCATACTGGGAGTTGGTTTGAACTGGAATGCAAAACTTCGCATTGATGCTGAGTGATTTAAGCACAAGGAAAGTGGACGATAGTTGATCGGCGCGCAGAAATAACATGGACCGTAAAATGAGGTAACGGATAACACGAATGCGATGTTCTCATCCCTTCTGCTTTAGGTGGAGTTCTGAACAGGTTTGAGCTTTTTTTCATTGTTTCTTGTACAATGTTGCATTGATTGGAGACATAATCGCTGTCATAGATTAATCTGTTCTAATCGTCTTATTGTAAAGGGAAAATGCTTCATCCGTGAGGGCGAAATTCATCGTCGAGGCAGCAAATCATCCTACCGATCCAGAAGCTGATGAGGTACTCTTACATATTCATTCTTCCGCGATTATAAATACGAAGAAAGATAGTTCCAATTCTGAGATGATCTTTTATTGGTGCAGATATTATCCAAGAAAGGAGTCATAATACTCCCAGACATATATGCAAACGCTGGTGGGGTGACTGTTAGCTACTTTGAGTGGGTTCAGGTGACTGACAGGAGAAACTTTAGCTCGATTTTTCTGAGTAGCATTCGACGATTAGAGACATAATTTTAACACACTGAAATTCTGTTTATTTTATCGCAGAACATTCAAGGGTTTATGTGGGATGAAGAGAAGGTGAATAACGAGCTTCAATTACATCAGCGTTTCATTAAACATCAAGGAACATGGCAAGACCCTATGATTGTACAAATCTAGAATGGTGCCTTTCAAATTGGGTGTAAAACCGGTTGCACGCGCCACCAAACTTACGGGTTATGAAGCATAAAGAGCTTCTTCTGTTAGCCTGTTGCATTTTTTTTCCCATAGTCATTCACCTCTCCATAAATGGGGGTAAGGCTAGCCGACATTCACCTCTCCCATAGACCCTGCGTAAAACGGGGGAGCCTGGTGTTCGCACCTGTGTTACGCGACCTTTTACCTTTAGTCATAGCTGAAGAAGAGATAGATTTGATGCCAGTCTAGTTTATTTCCTCAAAATTTTCTCGGTTTCTCTTTTTCCGCGGTTAACCGTTTGCTTTCTTTTAGCAGAATTTGTATTTGATTAGAGGGATTGATTTATTAAGGAAATCAAAATCTGTTTTTCTTGCTCCAAACGTGTCTTAAATGATAAAAGTGGTAGTTGCTGTTGTTATTACTCCTATCAGTATTGCTTATGCTAAAGAGCCGAAATCTAGAATTTGTATCCACCTAAGTTAGAACCACATGCAGAAGAGCCCAAATCAGAACCTATTTAAGTAAAACTCGACAGATCTCCTCAAAAGCTCTCGTGAAAGATCTCAAAAGATGGTGGTCAAGTCGGGGGCCATGTCTTCAAATGTTTGAATACACCCCTACCCAGTTTTCTGTATAAAAATATGTTGACTCACCCAGAACCTGCCCCGACCTGCAAGTCCATGGTCCGTTTGCGCCCTTATTACATTGCACTAGGACTCTAATTAATAAAAAGGATTGAGATTCTTTAAAATGATTGAGATATTTTACGATCTCACATTCCGATACAATAGATTAAAATTTCGTCGTAAAATTTAGAAATGTAACGATAATTAATTTCTATCCGATTTCGAAGAAGGGTGAGC